TTTTTTTTTTTTTTTTTTTTAACGTTTAGCACATTAACTGGGGACTTATGGACAGGGTAGAAAAGCTTCTGGCAGCTCATTCCTCCTGCCTTTGGTTGCCAGCGAATAAATCTTTTTTCTGTTTTGTTATGACAGATTTGCATTTTTATCGGTGAAACTCTTCTGTTTTCGAACTGGGCTATCACAGCAGACATACTGATGGTGAGTCTATATTAACAATGCATTTTTCCTTTGGGATGGGGTGAGGGGCGGGTGTTAAAGCAGCTTTTCAAATTGCTATGGAAAACAGATGCATGTCCACAACAGCCTTTCACTGCTGCCCTTTAACTCTTGCCTGCTATTGCCTTTTCCACTGAGAGAGAGAGAAGCATCCTTCTCGATCTTTGTTTTGAACATCATTTGTTAGACTGAACAACCGCAGAATTCAAATGGTGCCCTGAAATCCAAAGCAACTGTACAGCCATCCTGTGTGTGGAGCTCAGCGAGCATTGAGGAATAGGCTTCCTTTGGGTTTTATTTTTGACAACCACAGTTCCCGTTGGCTTTCCTGTGGTCTGGGAAATCACTTTCTTCCCTTTCCCCCACATCCAAAGCCAGCTGTTTCTCTGTCTCCTGGTTTTGCCCCAGAAAACCTGCCATTCAACACATGCACAATAGGAAACTACCCCTGGGAAAGGACAGAGGAAAAGAAAGTCCAAAGAATTTTTTAACACGGCTCTGTTGTAAGGGGAAGCCATCAAGGTTTATTCACATCATGTTCCTGATCTTCCATTTTTTTTTCTCTGCCTAAAGCATGTTCTGCCTTTCTGATCAGAAGACTAATCTCGACCACTGGCTTCTCTGGTGAAATGGTCTGTTTTCCTGGTATAACTTTCTGTGCATTTGTAGTCCCATCCATCTGAGGATCTCCAAGCATTTCAGAAATGCTGATTCTTGGAAGTACCACTCTGCGGATGTTATTAACAGGTCCTTTTTACAGATGGGCAAACTGAGGCATATAGAGATTACAGTGTTCTCTGAAAGTCACATGGTGAATCTGCAAACAGAGCCTAGTCCTATGCTTACATCTTGAAGCAACTCACTCCATCCCAGGAACAGCCCTCGTTTTTCTTTCACTTAGGTTTATTTCCCACCAATACTAAACGCCTTTGACTTCTGTGCAGCACTTTTTTTTATTTACACACATTTAAATAAGGAGAAAATCTGGCTCGGTATTTCTAAGGTGTAAGGCTCCGATTAAGCCAAGACTTTCAGCTTGCGCTTATGTTCTCTGCTGAATACTTAAGCACACGTCTGTCTACCTAAGGTACTTCTGTGGTATTCCTAACTGTCGTGCATGAGAATCTCCAAATCTGTGATGAATGTATCCTGACAACATCCCTGTGAGGCATGGGAAGTGCCGATTTCCACTTTTGCAGAGAGGGAACCGAGACTCGGAGAAATCTGAGCGATGTCTTTGCTGCAGTTGCTGCTGCTTCTTTGGACGGTGCTTTAAGTTAGCTGTCAGGGCGGCTGTGGCGGCATGAAACACTGCACGGGCTGAGATGCTGCTCAAGTATCTGTATCCAAAGCCAAGTTCTTTGCTGCTACTGGAACTTGAGCTGGCAGGTTTAAAGCTATCTCTGGCAAGTTTACCGTGGCTGTAGTCACAGCAGTGACTGCAGTATAGCAATGCCCCAAGTGCCTTGGTCAAGGTCACCGGAGACATCTATAGCAGATAAGCAGAATGAATCCTGGTCTCAGGCATGTCATCCTTTCCCTAAATGCTAGGTGAAATTGGAAGATAAAGGACCCGATCCTGCTTCCATCTTGATCACTTGGGATTTTCACACTGATCTCAATGGGTTTTGTAAGATCCTTTGACTCTTTTTAAGGTTTTATAGTGTCTGCAGATTCCATATGTGCTTGGGATTATATATGCAATTTGGTTTTGCAGGGATGCTGCTGTCATTTCTACTAGTGAAAAAACCCAAAGAAAGAATGAGTTAGAAATGCTTTCGAAGTTCCAATTTAAAAATAAAACAGAAACTAAATGAGGTGCATGAGAGGGCACAAAATCATACCAAAAATGGATTTTTAATCATTGGCATTGACTTCTTAACCAGGCTTTCACTTGTGTATCTAGACAAATGGTCTGACTGTAATATACAGTAGTGTCCCTGCTTAATACGTTATCAGGATGAGCAAGTCTGTAAAAACACTATACAAATAAATGTAAACATCCATTCAGATCAATGCAAGCACATAAATAGTTGGTCAGAAGTGCATTTGCATTACACATGGGGCTAGAGAGGATGCGTAGTCAGGCAGTAGGTGAGGGCTAGGATTATAACTGATTTTTTTTTCAGACAGCTTCATAATGGTCCTAGCCAGCAGAGAGGTGTGTTAATGCTCCAGCCAGGATGCACTTTAAATGGTAATCAGGAGGAATTAACTTGCAATACATTTATTGACGTAAAAGGAAGAACGCTTTGCAGGCCTGTAGCGCCGTCAGACTGAGACTCTCAGAG